GGGAGGAGGCCACAGAGCCGCGAAGATCACCGAATCCGGAGCCCCCCGGATCGGCGGCACTGGCCGAAGGTCACTACAATAGATACATTACATTGCAGACGTACCAATATTTACATACTCCACATTTCGAAATAAAGGGAGGGGGGTCTCATTTCGGGGGGGGGTCTCTTCCAGGCTATCTTGGAGGGCCTGGGGGGTCTGGGCACGATGTTTTGGAGGGTTCTCCCACGGGGGAGGTCTGAAATGGCTTGTCTTGGAGGGTCCAGACCCCCTCCCTTTTATTACGAAATCTGGAGTACACGCGCGCGCCTCGCGCGCGTGGGTTCTAGTGCGCACCGGCTCTCGACAACAGAAAAAGTGCGCCCGTGTCCCGAGCATCGCGGCGGCAGTGGCGAGGGCACCCTCCGAGGGCCGAGGAGGGAGGCCTCGCCACGGGCCCCCCCGTTGTTCTTCCCGCTCCTCCTTCTGTTGCTTGTGGAGCTGACCCTCCGAGTCCTTTCCTTCTGCTGCCGAGCGCTCATCATCCTCATCCCCTCTGGGACCTCCTCCTCATCGTCCTCCTCCTCCTCGTCCTCCTATCCTCCTCCTAGCCTCCTCCTCCCCATCATCATCATCATTATCATCATCATCATCATCATCATCATCATCATCATCATCATCATCATCATCATCATCATCATAACTCTCCTCATCATCAGCATCATCATCGTCATCGCCAACAACAACAATAACAACAACAATAATAATAACAACAACAACGATGATGACGACAACAGCAGCAACAACAACAACAAAACAACAAAAAATAACAACATCAACAACATCAACAACAACAACAACAGTAACAATAACAGCAACAATCATTGTTAGACTGTTCGCTCTTATCTGTCCGAGTGTCCGTTAACGCGTATTTCCCGAACCCTCGATACCCGCCCTCTTCGTCTGCGATCGTCCCCCTTTTGGGGGTATACCTTTCTTGCCTGCAGGCCAGGCCCTGGCAAGCGGCGGGGCGGCCGCAGACCGTCGGCCTGGCCAGCGGCAGCGCTGATCGGCGGCAACCTGACGCCAAGAGGGACGGACAGGGGAGCGACCACGACGACGACGACGACGACGACGACGACGACGGCGACGACGACGACGGCGACGACGACGACGAGCGAAACCGAAAGCGAGAGAGAGAACGACAGCAGGGCCACGAAGGGAACGAAGTAGGCCACGAAGGGCGACAGCGGGGACACGAAGGGAATGCGTATGGGGCCACGAAGAGCACGAACGAGCAGGGGCCACGAAGGGCAGATAATTCGGGGCCACAGAAGGCAACGACGGGGCCACTGAGGGTAGCAACTGGGCCACGTAGGACAGCGAGGGGGGCACGAAGGGCAGCAAGGAGGCCACGAAAGGCATGCACATGGGGCCACGACGGGCGCGAACGAGCGGGGGCCACAAAGGGCATACGTATATTGGGCCGCGGAAGGATAGGACGGGGCCACTGAGGGCAGCAACGGGGCCACGAAGGGCAGCGCGAGGGGGCCACAAAGGGCGACAGCGGGGCCACGAAGGGCATGCATATGGGGCCACGACGGGCGCGAACGAGCGGCGGCCACGAAGGGCAAACATATATGAGGCCACGAAGGGCAGCGAGGGGGCAACGACGGGCTGCAACGGGGCCACGACTGGCAGCGAGGGGGCAACGAAGGGCTGCCACGACTGGCAGCGAGGGGGCCACAAAAGGCTGCAACGGGGCCACGAAGGGCAGCGAGGGGGCCACGAAGGGCAGCGAGGGGGCCACGAAGGGCAGCGAGGGGGCCACGAAGGGGTGCAACGGAGCTAGGAAGGGCAGCGAGGGAGCCACGAAGGACTGCAACGGGACCACGAAGGGCAGCGAAGGGGGCACGAATGGCTGCAACGGGGCCACGAAGGGCAGCGAGGGGGGCACGAAGGGCTGCAACGGGGCCACGAAGGGAAGCGAAGGGGGCCACGAAGGGCTGCAACGGGGCCACGAAGGGCAGCGAGGGGGCCACGAAGGGCTGCAACTGGTCCCCGAAGGGCAGCGAGGGGGCCACGAAGGGCTGCTACGGGGCCACGAAGAGCAGCGAGATCCCGATTCCTAAGTAATCTGTGAGGGAGTCCTAAGCGTGAGCGCGACTCCTGGGTGCCTGAGTGTCGCGGGCGCGGCGCTTTAGTAAACTGCAAGCAAGTCTCCAGCGAGAGCGCTACTCCAGAGCGCCGAGAGAGCGATTCCTGTATAAATTGTAAGGAAGACCCCAGCGAGAGCGCGATTCCTGAATAAACTGCGAGGGAGTCTCAGGCGGGAGCAGGGGTCCGGGAATTGTGAGGACGTCTCAGGCGGGAGCCTTTGTTGCTGTAACCCGGGGGCCAGGGGCCCAGTTTGAGCCTCAAAACTTTCCCTGATAAAAAAACAGGGTGCGAGCCCCAGGAAAGGCACTTCAATTGAAAAAATAAAGTGTACACCAGTGCGGGGGGATCAACCATAATTGCTCTTCAGAAATGAGAGTTCAACAACAACAACAACAACAACAACAACAACAACAACAACAACCATAACCACAACAACGATAACAACAACGACACTAACGGCAACCACAACAACAACCACAACAACTATAACAACAACAGCAGCAACAACGACGACGACGGCGACAACAACAGCTACAACAACAACAACAACAACAACAACAACAACATCATCATCATCGTCATCATCATCATCATCAGCAGCATCATCATCGTCATCGTCATCGTCATCGTCGTCGCCAGCATCCTCACTATCACTATCACCGTCACCATCACAATCACCATCAACATCATCAGCATCAGCATCATCATCACCTCATCGTCCACGTCGTCGTCGTCGTTGCCTCCTCCTCATCATCATCATCATCTTCCTCCTCCTCCTCCGTGTTCCTCTCCTCCCCACCTGCGTGCTCCTTAGGGCTGTTGTCAAGCCTCATCTGCCTCCTCCTCCTCCTCCTCGTAGTCTTCCTCCTACTCTCGTCCACTCGGACCGCCCCCTCCTGCCCCTTCGTGTCCTCGTCGTCCTCATCCCCACATTCATCTTCATCGCCGTCGTCCTTCACAAGTGGACCCAACGACGTGTAAACTCAAGTAGACCGAACAACTTGCGAATTCGAGCGAGGCTACCATTATGCAAGTGCGCCTCTGAGCTCGACCGAACCGCATATATGCCCCAATAAAGACTCAGCAATTGAGTAATGTATGTGTTAAGACGGTCGGAAAAATCGGGACGGCAAACTAAACAGTCGCCGCGGGAATCTGGCTTATCCGCTCTCCTCCGTGCCGTGGAATCGGTGCAGCGCTTGGGGGAATAGTGCATTAGCCATGGCATCGCCGAGAATTGTCTGGGGGCCCACTGGACGCCCTTGCAGAGGGCCCCCCAGGACTCCCAGGCCTCCTGGACGTCCCTGCCGGGCCCAGCCAGCGGGCCCACAGCAGCCAGGAAGGTGGCCGGACAGCCCAGCGAGAGCGCGGCCCCGGACACCCACCAGACGCCGAAGACGGCCCAAAGAACACCCCTCAAAGACCCTCCAAATGCAAAACATATTGATTCCCCAAGGTTTTTGCATGATCTTGGTCTTCCGGGCGTCCGACATCGTCCAAGAGACCCAAGAGATCGTCCCAAAACAAACCAAAGTGGCTTGCAAACAATCCAAGAGAGTCCCATGATGGCCCAACACGGCCCCGAGACGCCTCCCGAAACACTCCAAATCATGACCCAGTCGATGAGGGAGTCCGTGGTTCGCAGCAAGGTGGCCCGAGGAAGTCCGCAGAGGCCGCCACAAGGAGCCAAGGACTCCCCCCAACCAGAAAATGATGAAGAGGACAGGGCAGGGTTCGCAGGACAAGGCGAGAGCGAAGAAAAGAAAGAGGGAGCATTATGGAAGCAGGAAGAACAACTGCCATAACGACGACAGCGAGCACGGAAACGAGGTCTCATCGCTGGTCTGACTTGTCTACCTCTCTCCTAGTCCGCCTACAGGCGCAGAGGTTGAAGGATCAAGGCGGGTGGCGCGAAGCGAAAAGGCAATCTTGTCCATACATACATATACGTGTATATATACATATATATACACATGTATACAGGAACATTCTCCCTCTCTCCCATTCCCTCCCCCCCCCATCCCTCCGTCCTCCCTGATCCACCCCCTGGTCCCCTTCCGCCTCATACTCCCCCATCATACTCCTCCCCCATTCCCCCTCGTCCCTCGCCCTTCCAAATATCAAATATTGCATTGTACCAGGACGCCAACCATCCACACGCAACACCCTGGAAAAGCCGGCCCAAACGACCCTGCAAAAGCCGACCCTGGGCCCGGGACCGGTGCGCGCAATAGTGGACTGGCAACGGGCGGTGCGACCAGACAATCGCCCTCGTAGTCGCCACCGTCGTCGTCGTCGTCGTCCTCCTCATCGTGGTCGCCAGTGTCAACGTCAGCGCCTTCGTCGTGAAAATTCACTCAAAACAACTCCTGGAGCCCTCCCGAGGTCCGTCCTCGGGGAACACAGAGATGCCAGTACAGCTACTCCATGGGCATCTCCGAGGGTGCGTGTCGCGGCGGCCCCGGCGACACGCTGTGCCGAGCGGATTTCGTGTCGCTCCGCTCCGCGGGGCGGGAGGCGGGGAACGGCTCGGACGCCGATGCCTGGGGGGCAGGGACGCGGTTAGCGCGCCGCGCCAAAGCGTGGTGGGCTGGAGCTGGCGGCACGACACGCTGAGCAAAAACTCCTGAAGGTACACAATCGCTTAGTGGCCCCTGGAACAGGAAAGGCCTAAAAAAGGCTCCAGGATTGGAAACAGAACGAGAACCGGAACGAAACGGCGACAGAACCGTCAAACAAGAACTGCAAAACGGCGCCGGTCAAAAAAAAATGCCCCGTCGCTTCCAGGGCCTACGATCTACAAACGAACGAATCCAAGACACATCGGAAATACATTCAAAGGTCGTGGTCGTCGCCGCCGCCGTCGCCCCCAGAGGCCCCGGCCCGGGCACGTCCGCGTCGGCCAGCCGGTGCGCAGGGGGGCCGCCCACGAAGTCGAGGCGCGACCAGCGCCCCGTGCCCGTCAGCGCCTTCACGAGGTCGGAAGGCAGGACGCGGTCGTCCTGGCTGGCCGTCGCGGCCGCCGCCGCGAACACCAAGGAGTGGGCTTCTCGGGGTCGTCGGTCGGTCGGTCGGTCGGTCGGTCGGGCTTCGAGGCTTCTGAAAAGCTCTGGGCTTGTCGGGGCCTCGAGGGGTGCTCTCGCGGCCACGGCTGGATCCGCCGCGCAATTCTTCCCAGAGCGCACCCCAGGAGACGACGAGGGGTCGTCGTCTACGCCAGGGACATCAAGCAGCTGTCTGGGACAGGAGGCCAATGCCAGGGAAACGGAGGCCATCCTCCCTCCTCCTCCCTCATCCCTCCTCCACTTCCTCCTCCTCACTCCGCCCCCCGGCTCCACCCTCCCGTTCTCCTCCCTCTCCGCCGAGGTCGTGCCGGTCGCCGTCGCTGCGGCCGTCCACCCCTTCCTCATCCCTCCTTCTCCCTCCACCCCACCCTCCACACCTCCTTCTCCATCACTCCTCCTCCTCCTCCTCCTCCTCCTCCTCCTCCTCCTCCTCCTCCTCCTCCTCCTCCTCCTCCTCCTCCTCCTCCTCTCCTCCTCCTCCGCCTCTCCTCCTCCTCCTCCTCCTCCTCCTCCTCCTCCTCCTCCTCCCTTCCTCCTCCTCTCCTCCTCCTCCTCCTCCTCCTCCTCCTCCTCCTCCTCCCTCTCCTCTCCTCCTCCTCCTCCTCCTCCTCCTCCTCCTCCTCCTCCTCCTCCTCCTCCTCCTCCTCTCCTCCTCCTCCCTCCTCCTCCTCCTCCTCCTCCTCCTCCTCCTCCTCCTCCTCCTCCGCTTCCTCATCCTCCTCCCTCCTCCTCTCCTCCCCCTCCTCGGCCATCCTCCACACTGTTCCTCCCCTCTCTCCCCCTCCTCGGCCACCCACAGACGCTTGCCGCACCCGTCCCATTCCGTTCCGCTCCCCTCCTCGGTCCTCGTTCCTGGCTCGCGCCGCCCAGCCTGCCACTCGTGGCCCCCCGCATGCCACCGCCGCCCCGCGCTGGCGCCGCGGAGCGAGCACGCCGCAAGGCTCTGCGCCCGCAGGTCGGGCGGCGCGTGTGCGCCCCCTCCCCTGGAGGCCCCTGGAGGTCTCCAGCTGTCCCGAAGGGAGGCAACCTCTCTGGGGCGATGATGGCGGAGCAGGAGAAGACCAGCCCTCCCTGGCGATGGCTTTCTCCAAGGTTAAGGTAAGAGGAGGGGAGAGCACTGTCTGCCGCCCTCCTCCTCGCGCGGGGGCCCCAGCCGCCACGCGCGCGCGCAGAAGGGCGCCTTTGGGGGGACCCGGGAGCTCCTCTGGAGGTCCCCAGAGGCCCCAGAGGCCCAAGACGGACCGGAGCGTCCAAAACCCTCGATCCTCGAATCTCAGTGATCGAGGTCATCCCCTGTCCCCCTTCCCGCATCCCTTCCTCCATCCCTCCCTCCCGTCGCCCCCGATTCACAAAGCAAAAGAAGATGTCGGGGGCAACCGAAGACCACGAGGCCTCCGAGCGAGGAGGCAGGGAACGCCTCAGTCTTCCGCGCCTCACCGACCGTTGCGAAGACGGCGCTGACTTCAAAGAGGAAGAGAAGCCGAAGAACACTTCACACTAAGGGCCGTGGCCAAGCGAGCGGGACTGTGGCCAGCGGCATTTCCGTCCACCAGCGTGGTGCGCCGACATCTTCTATATCACCCCGCGCACGAACTATCTGGCACTCAACATACCTTGGGTAGGCCATCGACAGCATGCGTTCAACAGCAAAGTCCACAACCAACATCGCAACAACGTCCGGCAAATATGCGACCATGGCTATGCTATGGCAGGGTACGTGTATCACATAAAAGGTATTGGAGGCGGCCTCTGTGTCAAGAGCCAGCGTTAACACAAATATCTACTAGGTTCGCTGCTGATTAGCGTCGCGGTGCGCTGGAAAAGAGGCGGTAGGACGAGGAAGCTGTGGATAACGACGACACTCTCGAAGAAGGTCCTTCACAGGCATTGTCTCGAGCACGCTCCCAGCCCATGCCGCTTCAGGATTAGCCACACCAGATTGGTAGCTAACCTGCGCGTGCAGCGCCGCTGCCATACAGTCCTCATCCTCATACCCGTCCTCGTTATGCACGAGGCCCTGGCGGCAACGTAGAAGCATCATCGCCAATGCCGCCGTCATCGGCACCATCGCCATCAACATCACCGTCTCTTTCCGCAATTAGACAAGCGCGTTCCACTACTCGCACAAAGGACTACTCGCAAATGATCCGGATCCGGCGCGGGCAGAAGCACGCGTTTTTGTTCAGACGTTTGCGGGTAGACGCTTAGCGAGTAGTGGAGCGCGCTCTAGGATGTGGCCCTCCTGCCCAGTGTCACAGATTGCGTTCAACTTCCGCGCCACATCTCTGTAGCACTGCGGGGCGAAGAGCGTGCTCCGCGCCCTGGCCTCTCGCCAGATGGCCCTTGCCGAGTCGCTGCTCGTGCTTTGGTATACCTCGTCGTCGTGGCTGCCCCGACCACGGCACCAGCAGCAGCAGCAGTTATGCGAGTTGGTGTTGTAACAAGAGCAATAAACAAAAAAAATAGATCAATACGAATGGTAGGAATGGTAGGAATAATATGAAGAATCGAAAGAGCCAGAATAATAGTAACACTAACAATAGTAACAAAAATAACAATCACATTACCAGCAGGAGCAGCCACATCGATAGCCGACGTGACTTCGGCCCTCTTGGGCATGAAAAAGTACATGCTACATGTATGTTTGCTCCCTACAGCCTTCTAAACGCGATCCACCCTTCATCCCAGACCAAGACAAAAATCGCACTCAGAAGTTGTGTTGTCCAGAGCTCTTCTCGGCCCACGAACAGCCTCTGGACAAACCAAACTATCACAAGACGAATACAAAATGCCACCGTGCCATCCCAAGGCGCACAGGCGAACTCCGAGAGGCCCAAACATGCCCTCAAGAGGCCCCATGGAGCCGTCAAACAATCCATCGACTTGACATGCCGTGTGGCCGAGCCGACTACCCTCGACACTCAATGTTTAGTATCGCGAACTGATCTCCAGCCTCAGCCAAAGACATCCCAGATTGAAGCGCCGATTCGCACAAGCCTGACAGCTGAGAACTAGATCAGATCACCCTGGCGGCGCCTGGTGTTCATGCGCATGCGTGGCGGTCGGGCTCAGGCAAAGTCGTGCAGAGCGAGCCATGCAGGCCCTTGTGGACCATCAGGCCTTGGTGACTCAGAAACTCTGATGCACGGAGCATGTGTCCAGAGGCGGACAAGTACACCTAAGTTGAGCACATGCGCCAGCGAGACACTCCCAGAAGGCTCGCGCGAGTCGAGCTCCTGAGCCGGCCGTGGCACCAGCTTTGCAACAAGCCTCACAATACTATGACAACTCACACGGTCACACAGGCAACAAGGATGCACAACCAACGCGGATGATGGGACACCCAGGGCAAGCGTAAAGGGAGAGATGGTAACGGCGGAATCCACTGTGGAAAGGAACACAGCAGAAACGGCAGTCGTGAAGAAAGAGCGCAGAGGTACCTTCAGCAGGTACTTCTGCCAAACCCGCGGCGGAATAGTAGAGCAAATGGGCCTCTGTGGCGCGTCAGCAAATAGAAATCATACTGTCTCACGAGCGCCTCAACCTATGAGCTGGCCCCTCCTAGGCATGATGCGCTCGGAACCGCCGCCCAAGCACCTCCCTGACACCACTACGTCGTTACATTGTGTTGTAACTGTTCTTCCCCACATCCGAAATGGGGTCCTTGCTTTCTTTCGACACCCCCCGCAGTCCTCACACCTCCACCCTCTCGTTCTCCTCCTCTTCCGTTTACACGCACAATCACCATTACCCCACCATCATCATTCTGAATATCACAATCCCATCGGGATCACCGGCAATCATCACAACTAACATCAACTTCACCATCGTCATCATCAGCAGCAGTATCACCATCATAATCATGATCATCATCGTCATCATCATCGTCGTCGTCGACGTCGTCACCACACTTACACACTCAATCACACACTCGATCACTCCCCTGAAGAAAAAGAAAACAACAACAACAAAACGAGCACCACAGACAATCACGATCATGACCATCACCACTCATCACCACACCGTGGCCATTACCATCTTATCAGCATTACCAGCATCACCACCACCAGAAACAGCACCAACGTCATCACCACCATCACAAATAGTTCAGACGTTCGCATCATCAACTTGAAGAACTCTCGAGCGGAAGCTTCGTCTGTGAGTGGATGGCGCGGAAGTCTCAGGAGGGAGCCCCTTCCCCATGGGGCCCGACGTTCCTAATCCGAGGCGGGCATCGGCATACCTGTAACTGTCGTCGCGGTTGGGCTCCTGATGCCTGAATCAGGAAGACGTCTCGAGCGGGAGCCTCGTCTGCCAGTGAATCGCGGAGAAGTCTCAGACGGGAGCCCCCTCCCTATGGGGCCCGCGCTTCACGTTACGAATATGTGGCGGTCATCGGCGCACCTGTAACTGTCGACAGAATTAAGCTCCTGACGCCTGAATCAAGAAGACGTCAGGAGCGGAAGACTCGTCTGTTCGTCTGTTTGTGAGTCGTGAAGAAATCTCCAGCGGGAAGCCCCTCCCTATGGGGCCCCCACTTCACGTTACGAGTCCAAGGCGGTCACTGGCGTACTTATAACTGGCGTCACGAGTGGGTTGCTGCTGCCTGAATCATGGGGACGTCTCGAGAGGGAACCTCACCTGTGTACAATATCAGGAACTCTCGAGCGGGAGCCACGTCTTTGAGCGGGCTGCGGCGGCCTTGAGTATATAGATATACAGACACATATACATGTAAATATACGTACGTACGTACGTACGTACGTACATACATACATACATACATACATACATACATACATACATACATACATACATACATACATACATAAATACATACATACATACATACATACATATATATATCCCAGAACACAACTGGAACACGGTCCCATAACCGAGACAACCCCACAACAGACCAAGAAAAACCCTACCCAGGCTCCAAGCGGATCCTTGACTCCCCAAGACACTCCCGAGATCGCCCTAAAACCCTCGAAGACGACCCCAAAGCACCTGCAAGCCATCCCACAGATCCCGAAGACGACCCGCACAGGCTCCAAAAACGCCTTCATGCGCGCCTGAAAAATATCCCAACTAACTTGTCCAGTGACAGCTGGGCGACGAACAACTAAAAATATGTGCACTCAGTTTACCATGCCCACCGCAAAAGCAAATAAAATCGAACAATGCGATTCTGAACGTATACCCGGTACGTAAGCAAGCACAGTCACAAATCTGTACGCACGCATACATATACGCCCCCCCACTCCTGGACCGACCTCAGTTTCTTGCATACGCACATGAAGGTCGTACGCGCGTAATTGTATATGTATACTTCTTCCAATGTTGTGTATAAAAATAGATATGTACCGCATGTGAGGGCTCGCTTCGCTTCGCCTCAATCTTGGTCTTGCGTCCATGCACTACAAACCACCTCGGTGAATGGGTGATTGGTGAAAGTAGATGATGACCACGAGGAGGATCACGGTCAGCATCCCGAAACAGGCCAAAGGCATGCCTCTGGTTGGGGAAGAATGGCATCGGCGCGACAGGGCCAAAGTCACGCATGCGAAGTGGGAGGAAGTGGTGACTATGAGGGGGGTCGCGGTCATGACGTTCAAGGAGCAACGCCATGAGCGTCAACGGAATAAACATAGAAACGAATGATCCGCAGCTAGGACGGCGAGGACGACGAAGAGAAGGAGGGCGAGAACGACGAGGAGGACGGGCACGACGAGACAGAGGGTCCCGCAGTCGCCAGAATGGGGAAAGGTCATGACGGAATGCGCTTCTGGCAGCGAGAGAGCTGATGTGATGATCGCGAGGTGGGTGAAGCTCACGAGGTCGAAAAACTTTAACCATGGGCGCGAGTGGGGACCGAGGGCATTGGGAGCGGGGTGGACGTGAGGGTCGTCGGAGAGGGGCAGGGGTCAGCGCGACGAGGGGGCGACGCTGATGACCGGTGAAGCTCATCGCTCAGACACGGGGGGGCGAGCCCCACCGTGAGAAGAGGGACACGCAATGAATTTGTTGGTCGTGGTCAAAGCTTCAAAACTTCGCACGTACCTTTGGGGCCTCTGCGCCGTCTGAGGGCCTCTTGGAAGCCTCTGGGGCGTTTTGGGGCCCGCGTGCACCAAATCAGGGCTTTAGGGGGCCTTGGCGTTCACGGAACCGACTGGCCTACAGCTGGCCGATAACAATTGGGGAACGAAGTAGGAGGTGGAGCAGAAGATGCAGAGCAGGAAGCGAATGAGGAGGACGAGCAGCAGCCGAATGATGTACGATCGTTTTGGAGATGGCCTGGGTGTTATTCGGACGCCTTTAGGGAGGGTCTCAGACTTGAAGGGGCATTAGAGGGCCTTGGCATTCATGGCGCCGCCTGACCTACAGCTGGCCGAAGCCAATAGAACTGAGCTGTCTCGGGGGATAAAAGTGCAGCCGCCCAATGAAGCGGGGACGCGGACATGGCCGCGAGGGGGGTCGTGCTCATGCCGCCGGGGCCGTCATGCCGCCATGGCGCCACACCCTGACACGATTCGTGAGTTCGGGGCGTCTTGGGTGCCCGTCGGTCGGGGCCTCGTGGCGTGTTTCTGCAGGGCCTCTGGAAGCCCTGCATGGCTCGTGAATCGAGGGCCTGTGGAAGCCTTCCTGGAAGCATTTGGGGAGCCTCTGGGGGGCCTCTTGGGCCTTCTTGGGGGTCCTTTTGGGGCTCTTGTGGGCTGGCAAGGGCCCTCTGGGGCCGTCCCTCTTGGATCGTATTTGAGGCGATCAGGGGGGCCGCCTGGGTCAACGTGGACGCTATGAGGATCGAAGAAGCGTATATGCTAAAAGTAGACTTTCCCCTAAAGGAATGCGACGATGTGTGCCTCTTGGGGGGGGGGCCCTGGAGGGGTCTTGCGCCATTTTGGCAATATCTTAAGGCGCCTTGGGAGCCCCTCGGGCCAGCTTGGGGGCCTCTTAGGCCTGTGTGGGAAGCGTTTTGGGCTTTCAGGGAGCTTTCCGACAGGTGCCCCGGGGCTGGGGAATACCGTCCAAAAGGTATGGGGGGGGGCCATCTAGGGGGTCCATGCAGGATGTACAATTATAGGAACATACAGACATACATACATACGTACATCTATCCAGACAGGCAGGCAGGCAGGCAGGCAGACTGACAGACAGACAGACAGACGGACAGACAGACAGACAGACGTGCATACATACATACATACATACATACATACATACATACATACATACATACATACATACATACATACATACACACACACACACACACACACACACATACATACATACATACATACATACATACATACATACATACATACATACATACATACATACATACATACATACATACATACATACATACATACATACATACATACATACATAAATGCATGTATGCATGCATGCATGCACGTACATACATACTTACATACGTACGTACGCACGTACGTAAATACATACATACATACATGCATGCATGCAGGCATACTTACCTACCTACCCACCCATCCACCCACCTACCTACCTACCTGCCTACCTACCTACCTACATACCTACCTACACGCATACATACATGCATACATACATACATACATACATACATACCTATCTACCTACCTACCTACCTACCTACCTACATGCATGCATGCATGCATGCATGCATGCATGCATGCATACATACATACATACATACATACATACATACATACATACATACATACATACGGACAGACCGACTGACAGACAGACAGACAGACAGACAGACAGACAGACAGACAGACAGACAGACAGACAGACAGACAGACAGACAGACAGACAGACAGACAGACATGCATGCATGCATGAAATCATGCATACATACGTACAAAAAGAAAGACAGACAGACAGACAGCCTGATAAAATATCAGCCACCGTGCCGCTAGGCACGAGTTAGTGTCCCCAAATCCTGTGAACCCTTAGCCCTGAGTCCTGATAAGTTCAATATTTCAGGAAGCATGGACCCAAAATTGCCAGATGTCCTGGGGTGTGCAACGTGTGGTCGCAGACCTCTCGAGGCTTTCCGCGTGATTTTTCGGGAGGCCAGGAGGTCTCTGGACAGCCCAAGAGCGCTCCAAAACGCAGAAGATAACCCCAAGACGGCTCAAGGCTCCCCCAATACCACCAAAGAGAACCCCAAAAGGCCGCCCAAGAGGGCCCCACGTCATTGCTTGCCATCAGTGTTTGAAAGAGTTTTAGCGTTCTCTCGTTTTCGGGCTTCCGACGCTCTAAGACGGCCCGAGAGGACCCAAGACGCCCCCAAGACGACCCAAGACGCCCCCAAAGCAGCCCAAGTGGGCCCTAAGAGCCTGAAGGGCCAAAATCCTCCCAAAGCCTGAGGAAAATGAATTCGTCCCTTCTCGCCTTTTCGCTTCCGATAAGCTTTCGCCCTAAGAGGCGACGTTTGGAGCTCTAGATGGGGGTGGCTGATTAAGGACGCCCCC